CATGATTTTATTGTCATTGACATTTAACACATAAAACATATTCATAACACCATAAACATGTAAAATACTTTTTCATGTGATATTGAATTGAGATTTCCATAACTGTAATCAAATTCGCATTTAAGAATTATCTTAGGACGAGTTGTCCTTTTTTTCTTGTCAAGTATAGAGGTGACTTGTCACAGATGTTGGTTTTTATCTGTATTTTGTTTTATAGTCTTTAACGACCTCTAAGTGTTCCTGATATTTACCGACAAACATATGGGGGATAAAACATTTAAACATTTATAATTGTGCTACAAATACTTAATATATTCATGAAAATGAACATTTTGTTTGAAATATTGTCATTAGGGCTGCTCGAAAACCCGACCAACTCGATCAACCCAACCCAACCCAATGCTAAATAACTCAACCCAATGTCTAATCGAGTTGTAAAAATTTTAAATCATAGGTATTGGGTTGATATTGGGTTACTATTATTTGAAACCAACCCAACCCGATATTCATTTTTTTTTTTTTGATTTAATATGATTGTTGAATTTCTATTAATATATACACTAGACAATTACACTATCACGTACGCTATTCATATACACATCTTTTCAATCTATTCACATCTCTATATAACTCATCTGTATATATGTTCAGTAACTGTAAACATATATACGTAAATTGAGAAAACTAACCGGATGTGATATACGTAAGAAATATGGATAAGTTATATCAAATGGTTGATGATGAAAAAGAAATTATGAGTAGAGAAATAACATATTCAATGTTAGAAGATTATTTTAATGTACCAAAGTATCAACCCGATTAACTCGTCCAACCCGTACGGTTTGAGTTGAGTTGGGTTGCACTTTCATTTGGGTTGGGTTGGGTTAAGATTTTTCAAACCGCAAGCATTAAGTTGGGTTGTTTAAATATCTTCAACCCGATCAATCCAACCCATGAGCACCCCTAATTGTCATCATAAACACATAAATTTCATTTAGTATGCAACTTTGTTTGAAAATAACATAGACACTCAGTTCCAAAGTTATTTCGTTAGGCCACCTCTAACCCATCACTAAAACATTAAAATAAGATCATATTTGTTTTAACCCACCACTAAATTGTAGAAGATCTCTATATTTATACCATTCTAGGTTTCCGGGCCTATGCACATTGACTAATCCCCAGACGACCACGAATGGCCTGACTTCATCGCAGGTGAACCTCCATGACCACAAGGATTTATATCGTAGAGGTCTAATATTCATGATCTCCAAAAAAAAATGTGTATACTGGTTTTAGAGTTGTACGTTTTAATAAGTGGTTGGAAGAGTTTTGTATTTTAGCAGAGATAGACCCACATTTTAATGTTTTTTTAGAGGTCGCATTAGAAGACAGTCGTACCATATTTTTATATACCCTTTATCATAATATTCGGCTTATCCCCAATTTAAATTTAGGAGTCGTATGTCAAATACTTACCGGGTGTCACTTATCTTACAGAGTGAGTACGATAGGAACCGAAAGTCTTACCTAATAAGAGGTGTAGCAAAGACCGAGAATCTTACAAGGTAAGTAAGAAAAAATAGTCGTACAACGGTAAAGCATGCCTACCAACAATCAATTTTGATAGTTGAGAAGGTTATTCGATAAGATAAGTAAGGGGCCGTTTACCAAACATTTACTCGGTAAGTGCTTACCGGTAAAATCTAACACTATCATTTACTTACCAGATAAGATTTTAGTCCACCAAAATGGTATCGTATGCAACATTTTACCCGGTAAGCACTTACCGGGTAAGATTTTTGGTTCTTTTCTCGCTCTTACCGGGTAGATTCTTGATCTTTGTCATATTCATCCGGTAAGGTAAAATGACTTGGTGTTTACCCGAGTAAGCGTTTGGTAAACGGTCCCTAAGAGTGATAACTCTTGACGTCAAAAGCTTACTCAATAAGCGTTTGATAAACAACCTTTAAGGTCGTTTTATATTTATCGACACAAAGGACAAAGCTACGTCTTTGTCACATGTCCTACAACTTTGCTTTCGTTACTTTGTTTGTACGTAGCTTTTATCATTGAAAAATATTTTTGACCATTTAATTATTAAGTAACAATTATTTTTTGTTAAACTAATGTTTATGCGATTTTAAGAAATGAATAAAAATGTTATTTTTGAATAAAATATAAATTTGAAGATATTATAAAATTTTGAAAATAAATATATCGATAGTAGTATCAAATTAACTATTTAAAAGTTTTAGTTTTTTTGTGTAAATTCTTTAATTCAATTTTTTTATTATAATTTAATTTAGCTTTAATAACGAAATAATTTCTTTTTGGATTAATAATATAATTTTTTATAAAGATAATATTTAAATATTTTGTTAGAACGCAATTATTATCCTAAAATAAAATAATTTTACATTTTTTATATTTAAAATAAAATGTATATCTTGTATTTGACTATGTTTATGTGCAGTTAGTTACACAAATTCAAATATGAAGCTTTAATAAGTTGTACTTACGTACAGTTTATTTGTAATCTTGAATTTTAAGTAATATGCATCAATAAACAATATTTCATGCAAAAAAAATTGTTTTCAAGAGTTTTCTGTCAAATGCTTTATAATACTAGAAGGGTACTCACATAATACATCGATATACATCTCTATGTCTTAGTCGATGTTATAATACGGTTTTATGGGTTTTAAGAAAGCGATAATATTTTTTTTTGAATAAAATATAAATATGAAGATATCGTAAAAAAATTAAAAAATATAAATATATATATATATATATATTGATACTAGTATCAGACTATTATTTAAAATTTCTCATTTTTTATGTATTTCTTTAATTTATTTTTTTATTTTTAGTTTAACAATATAATTTTTTTAAATAATAATTAAGTATTTTGTTACAACTCAATAGTTATCTTAATAATATTTTATTTTTTTATATTTAAAATGAGATGTTTATTCTCTATTTGATTATATTTATCTAAAGTTAGTTACATAAATTCAAACATGATGCTTAAATAAGTTGTACTTACGCACAATTTACTTGTAATTTTGAATTTTAAGTAATATGTATCAATAAATTTCATGCATAAAAAATGATTTTTAAGAGTTTTTATCAAATGCTTCATAATATAGTATAGATAGTATAAATTAGCTAAATATATTTATTAAATTATATAATAATATATATTTTTTATTTAGATAAATATTATATTCCTATTTAAAAATAAGAGTAAAACAAATTTCGTTTATATGTTTGCAAATCCTACGAGTTTAATCCCTATAATTTAGAAATTGAAAAATCTCGTTTAGATGTTTGAATACCATTTGGCTTGTAAATATAATGAACGTCACAAATGGTTAGCAGGTGGGAAAGAGCTTTCTGGCCTTTAGAGCGATTTTCCGAGTCCGACCCTTTGTAATTGGTGTTCAGTATTTCACTTTGTGCAATTTTCGTCGAATTACAAACTACCCGAAAAGCCGTTATATATAAGAATGGTTGATTACAAATTAACAACAAAATCCATCTTCTACTTCCCTTCCTTCAAGTATGCCACGTTAACCTTAATCTAAAAAACAAAAACCCCCCGTTGTTTCCCGGTCTTGGTTTGGCTGGGCCCTTCCCTTGTGGTTGGTTTCTTTCTCTCCCTCTCTCTCTCCCCTTCTCCCTTTCTTTCTTCTTCTCTCGCCCTCTTTTTGGGTCCTTTCCCTCTCTCTTCTTCTTCTTCTCTCTCTCTTCTTCTCCTTCCTCTTTCCCTTCTCCTGTGTTTCTTTCTTCCTTCTTCTCCTCCGGGAGCCTTGGATATTCTGGTGGATGTGGTTCGCCCCCACCCGAGCGCGTATTTGTTGTTTTATGTTTAGTGTTTTGCCTTGATCTGGAGGGGTCTCCCCCCTCCCTATCAAAAAAAAAAAAAAAACAAAAAAGAGAATAGTTCAGGGGAGGAGCGTTCAAATAAAAACCACTCAATTTGTAAAAACCGTGAAAACTTCATTCAACCAATCATAATTTTTCATTTTGTTCATTTTTTTGTAATTATGAGAGGTTGATTAACCATTTTTATTGTKGAGGKTGTTAATCATGRATRTTATCATCTTCATTATYTTAATTTTAGARAAATACATGAAACAGTTTCATTAAAATTTCATTAAATATTATATGAAACAATTTCATAACCATATATGAAACAAATTCATCAAAAAAAGTATTATATGAAACAATTTCATAACCATATATGAAACAAATTCATCAAAAAAAGTATTATATGAAACAATTTCACAAGATTAAACAATTTCATGAAATTTTTTTCATAAGATTAAATAATGAAATCGACGTATGAGAGTGGTTTGTACGGTTTTTACAAATGAGGGTGGTTTTCATTTGATCGCTCCTCTAGTCCAGGGTTAGCATCCTTTCTGACTTGTAAACAATTTTGTTAAATGTAGGATGATACTAGAAAATCCCATTCGATAGTGAGTTTGTCGGTAACTCTGAAGGGGCGGAGGGTTTGAGAAGAAACCGAAACCAGTGTCTCTATGAAAGGTGGTGTGAATGGACGATGAGTGATGATAGGGGTTATTTCATAAATATTTTAACACTTGTACATATGCAATGTCAAGTCGTATACAAATTTTAATTAAAAAAGGTTAAAATGACGAAAATGCCCTTCACATATATGGTCGCTTAACGGGGATAGTTGTTTTAGGGACGAAATCCATAAAAGAATACAAAGTAAGAAGTGAAAATTTTGTGATTTCTAAAATAAGGACTAAACCTACAACATTTACAAACCATAAGGACTAAATTTGCAATTTACTCTAAAAATATTATTTATTTAGAAAGTCATCTAGTAACAGTTTTGTTATCACCAAATAGAGAAATTAAGGAGAGCTGATTGGAAGGTAGAAGGCGCGTGGGTAACAGAGTGCGCGTGGGGGTGTGCCAGCTCATGATATAAACACAATTGGGCAATCTATAACTATCAACACAGCTCCTTCCATCATTACTCACACTATTCCCTTCTCTGCCAAAAATATCTGCTCTTTAATCCTCCTTCCCTTTTCCCAATTTTGCTTTTGATATGGCAGCTGAAGAAGCCCAGAAGGTAGAGGTTGAACCCGAGTGCCCGCCGGAGCCACCACCTGCCGCCGCTGAGGTGGAGGAGAAAGCTATTGTTCCACTTGAACCACCTCCTGTTCCTCAAGAAAATCCCGTTGATGATTCCAAAGCCCTCGTTCCAGTTGAAAGTAACAATTTCTGTACTTTTAAGATTCTTATTCCGTCAAGTTTGTTTCTGATTCGTTTCTTTTTTCTCTCTTGGTTTTCTTTGATGAATTTAGATTTGTATTGGTTTCTTGAATCTATTATAAACTAGAAAAAAAACCCAACTTTCAGTAATTGTGTTTAATCAAGAATATTGTCGTCTAAGTGTTTGTTTATATGACAGAGCCAACAGAGCCTTCCAAGGATAAACCTGCAGAGGGTTCTGTCAACAGAGGTAATTATGAGCATCTATGTGATTTTGATTTTGAAAAAATTAAAAAAGAAAAAGAAAAGAAGAGATTTAATTGATTATTTCTTCAGATGCTGTTCTTGCCAGAGTTTCAACAGAGAAGAAAGATGCACTAATCAAAGCTTGGGAAGAAAGTGAGAAGTCCAAAGCAGAGAACAAGTAAGAAATCAGCTTCTGTTATTTACCCCACAGTAAAAAAAATATTTATTGTTTTATAAACTTTGATCTTATTAATCAAATATTAATCTTAGTGTGATTGTCTTTTACCTCAAAGTGTGTTCTAATAGATAGATATATAGAAGTTCACAAACACTTTTTCACTAGCCAAGCCTAGCCAATTAGCCGCACTACTCTTTGCGATAGAGTTCCGTCCCTTTTCACACCATCCAAACCCCAACAAATATCAGTTTTCTTGGAAATGGGTGATCCAGACTTCACCCAGACTAATCCCATGGCAAGTTGAGACTGTAGGCTTCGCCCACAGCCCTGAGGTAAATCTCCCGATGGCTATAAGTGCATATGCAAATGGCAGGATTTGAAGTGGGTTGATTTTTTCGGTTTTTGCTTAATCTTCTAAGACGATGTAGATTAAAGATCCTTGCAGTGTTTGACTAATGAATTATTTTGTGTTGAACTCGTCATCTTGAATAGAGCTCAACAGAAGCTATCTGCCATTGGAGCTTGGGAGAACAGCAAGAAAGCAGATCTAGAAGCTGATCTCAAGAAGATTGAGGTAACATTCTTCTGCAGTTTTCTATCTGGTTAGATTCTATGATTATTAACCATCTTGGGTCTTTACAAAGAGAGAGATAACATGTTCAAATAATCATTTAACCAAAAAACAATGAACGAGCAGGAGAATTTGGAGAAGAAGAAGGCCAAGTATATTGAAAAGCAGAAGAACAAAATCGCTCTCCTACACAAACAAGCAGAAGAGAAGAGAGCAATGACGGAAGCGAAACGTGGAGAAGATCTTCTCAAAGCAGAAGAAGTGGCGGCCAAGTGCCGAGCTACTGGAACCACCCCCAAAATAGGATGGTTTAGCTAGATGTTTCCATAAACTCTAGTATGTGCCATTTGTAAAGTTTCTTATAGTATCTTGCTATATCTTAGATGTTTGCTTATTTATGTTGCGAATGATTGGTTGAATGTTTCATTATTTGGTGTGCATAGTAATGCAAATTATGTGTATATAAACCATTTGTAAGAAACAAATTTGAATGTGATATTTATGTTCCATGAAGTTTCAGTTTTGTGTTCCTAATTCTAATCCCAACAAGATTATGGGTTCTTCCAAAAGACCCCCAAGGCTATACACATATATATAGATTTCGGCTCTCTCTCTCTCTCTCTATCTATCTATCTATCTATATATATATATATATATATATATAGGTTTGGCCCAAAATTCTATGACCAATAGGTGAGAGATGCAATCGATGAGAGATGAAACCATGAGAGTTGCAATCGATAAGAGAAGTACCTACAGATTCAGCTGAAGAAGCTGATTGATTTCTCTTGGAGAGCAGCGTGAGAAAGGGCAAGCATGGAAAAACGAAGACTCGTTTGGGGAGACTGGGATGAAAAAACCACTCAGAGGTTATTGGAATCATTAAGCGGTAGTGTTTTCTTTTAACAAATAAGAATTACCTCTTAGCAGATCAGAGACCTCTTTTAATAAAACTATTAAAAGGCAAACAAACAATCCTTAATAATTAACAGTTCAATATTGATTATATTATTAAAATATTTTTCAATACATTTAAGAAAAAAAAAACCTTTATAAACAATTATAACATATTAAACCTCATTGAATTAAAATAGTAGATTTCCCTCTTCAATATTAAGTTGTAAAGAGAGATTGTTTGTTTACCTCTTAATAGTTCCCTTAAGATGCAACATCTAAATCGTTAAGAAATAAAATTTTGTTTGACAAAAAAAAGTCTGTCTCTTAATATTTCAAAAACCCTCTAATAATTTTGCATCATTGACACCTCTTAACCATTCAACGTCCTAATTTCATTGTAAACAATTACCAAACAATTATATTTTATTTTACACTATATTATAAGAGTCTCTTAATCATTCTGCATCAGATCATTCAACATCTGTCAAACAACCCAAATTCATAAAATTTTACCTTCTCTCTCTTCTATTTTATTTTTACCAAAAAGAATCTAAAAAACTTATAGTAAACATAGCTGATAAACAGAAAATAAAAGGAAATCAATCCATAACAAGATTTAGTATTTATATATTTGTAATTGTTAAAACAGAAAATAATATTTAAAAACATTTACATTTATGAGAAAGTAATGAAGAAAATTCCACAAACAACATAGGACTTGGGACACTCCCACCATATTATTTAGTGAACAAAAACCATCCTCATAATTTGAGAAAGAAACCAATTGCTAATAGAATTCTTTCTTTCTATTAAACAGGTTGAGGTTGAGGTTAAGATTAATCTAGAAATTCAAAATTGTATTCGAAGCTTCTTACCAAGATTCTCAAGAATTCAAGTAATCTTCCCAACCCACTTTTTCTAGCCTCTCCGTCTTCTCTAATACTGTATCTCTCGCATCTTCTTGGAACTGTATCATTCTGTACATGACGGTTGAGTCAATATATGCTTTATACATAGGAACAGGTTCTGTTAGAAACCTAAAATTGAATGGAAACCGAGGAACCGAGCATATTCATCAGGAATATGGGTGTGCGTGTTCTATATTCATCATGAATAAGACTTCTATATTCATCATGATTCATGATGAATATTCATCCTGAAAAGGAACATGTGGAGCGTTGTGGGTGGTTCCCAAGTTCCTAATCAATTTTGGGTTTCTAACAGAACTTTCTTACATATATACATATATGCACACAAAAAGAAAGACATTAGCCAATTAGAGATAGAGAGGGGGAACTGAACCTTGCTTGGAGGGTAGTATCAGTGACCCCTAACATTCTAACTGCCAACAAACCCGCATTAGTGGCATTGTTTATTGCAACTGTCGCAACAGGAACACCTCTAGGCATCTGCATTACATCATGAGATCGTTTAAATCCAAGAAAAGAATGTGATTGCCCACCTCTATAATATAGTATGCAACTGATAATATAATTCGAAATCTCAATTTAGCTTGAAGATTGAATCCAACATCGCTATGTGAGCGATTTAGAGAAGCAAAAAGAGAATTAAGTTCTTGGCCATTTTTAGGAACAAGGACCCACTTTGGAGATTTTACGTACCTGTACGATTGAGAGAAGGGAGTCAAGCCCATCCAATGCAGAAGCACGTACAGGAACTCCAATCACGGGTAATGGTGTCAGTGCAGCTACCATGCCTATTTGACAGGCAAGAGGTTACTCATGCTCATCTAACCATATTCTTCTAAGTTTGGAAATTGAAATAGGAGCACAATATAAAACCTGGAAGATGGGCAGCACCCCCAGCACCGGCAATAATAACCTGGATGCCTCGCCCTCGAGCAGATGTAGCATATGAAAACATCAGTTCAGGTGTCCGGTGTGCAGATACTATTCGAACCTGCAATATATATATTATCTTAAGGTCTAATAACATCTGATACTAGTCAAATATAATGAGGTGAACCACAAATGATAACCTAACCCAAAAGATTAAGAATTAACCTCAACAGATACGTCAAACTCTTCCAAAACTTTAGCAGCTTCTTTCATCACAGGAAGATCTGAATCAGAACCCATTATGATTCCAACACGTGGAGCGACTGTGTCAAGAAAATTACGACATATGAATCAGACAAGTAAAACATACAGTGATCAAGACCAGAGAATGTAAGCCCAACTTAAGTGATTTAAGGCAGGGTTGGGTCTAGAGTCCAATGTACAGGTGGAATTTGTCTCAAAATATGTGGAAACACGGGTTAATGTTTTTATTTGGCTTGATTATGTTGTTTAGTTCCATGTATCAAAATATGCATAACTTGTAATTTTAACCACACAACCATTGGAAAACAAACCTGGACTCTCATCTGCTTTTTCTTTTAAAAATGATTTCACCCGTGTTTCCACGATCCCCATTGAAGGGCCAACAACTGTGATATGCCCCATCTTCCGTTGCTTTCGCATATCTGCAGAGTCAAGAATAATATGTTTTAGCAACTGACTGATAATATTAAAGCATTGAGCTGATCGGTTACATCAATGTTGCTTGGAAAACCTACCTGGCTTATCATACCAATGAATGGATGCTCCTGGAGTACACAATGCCCTGCTAATAAGCTGATGTGCCATAATGAAACCCGGTTCTCCCTGCACACAACTCATAGGTACAAGCTTAACCACGGTTATCATGATAGTGACATAAAAAAATGATTCTATATATCAACTATGAACATTATCAACCAATTGCAATGGCTTTCCGCCAACTTGCAATATAAGACAAGTTAAGAACTCTTGAGCAAAACTATATAAATGATCAGGAAAAGGCCCAAGACAGTAAGAAACAAAATGACATATTGTGAACGTCATTATGTCACAAGCAATCAAACATGCAGCAATCAGCTAGGTACATACACTAAAATAGATATCATTTGAAGTTTCACAGTTTATCAGGATCACGTTCAACTTTTTATTAAAAACCTATGGCGTATAGGTCTTGAGTGAGAACCTACCTCTCAATAATAGGAAAATTTCTATTAATATTCTGTTTGATCAATATAAATCATGTCGAGTTCTATCAATTAGTTTCCTTTGTGAACCAAATAAGTCGTATACAGTGTTGGCAACTCTACTTACTTTCCAGCTGTTTTTTCCTTTTAACTTCATCCTCTCTGCAGTGTGGAACAGAGCAGGAGGCCTAAGAACAGTTTCTAAAGGTCCAAAAGCAATTGATAATATCTAACAAAATTCTTCCCACTGCCTTGAGCCATTGACCACACTGATTAGTTGAATCTATTCTAAAAGCTATTAAATGATGATTTTACCTCATCTTCACCTAGAATGTTGTACATTATGGCAGCCGGAGCCTTCATTGACGGATCACCAAGAGGAAGACCAACGACTGCCCGCAAATGCTGCTCATATTGCGATGTATAGCAAGCCTCAATGGTGTGGTGCCCACTGTTATGAGGTCGAGGAGCAACTTCATTTAGTAAAATCTGTATCGAAACATGTGAGCAGAATGTTCATATAAAGCATCAGAAATATAAAGTAAGAAAATGTAACGAAAGAAATAAGAAAGAATTATTAGGAACCTCGCCATCTTCTGTCAAGAACAGCTCAACTGCAAATACACCAGCACCTTCCAATGAAGCCACAGCTCGGGAAGCAATATCAGTTGCAAGTTTCATAATCTTCCATGAATCATTAGCAGGTGCCTTAACAATGTGACAGATGTTTTCCCTATAAACAAGATTAAAGATATAGCATCAAATTATGAAATACAACTTCTAAAGTTGTATACATCATTGTTGCAGATTTAGACAAATTGATGTAAATATAACAACATTAAGACATCAACTTGCCTATGAACAGTCTCAACAACAGGATAGCATAATATAGAATCATCTCTTCCTCTTGCAACAATGACCGCAAGCTCCTAAAACGAAAGTGCCGAACTCGTTAGCTCTATCACCAAATCGAACTCATAGAAAGACAATCTGATGGGGACCCCATAAGATCCTTGAACAAATCCACACCTAATGAAAATGACTAGAGGACCATAAATAAGCATGCAATGCCAATGCCATACCAAATACTCCCTTCTTCCTTAAATAAGTGTCCACATTTCAATTTTATTTTTGTCCCAAAATAATGGTCCAGGCGGTGTTTAGAGTTGCGCCTATATGGATAAGTTGAGGCAGAGAAGATTGCGGTGGTTTGGTCACATTTATAGGAGACAGTTGCATCTCAGTGAGGAGAGTAAGTGTGACAGTCGAGGGCGAGAGAATGAGGGTAGACCGAGAAGGACGTGGGATGAACAACTGAGGTTGGACAGGGTGGCTTTAGGAACTTCCGAAGGCATGACCTTTGATAGGAGTACATGAAGAACCAAAGCTAGGGTGGTAGATTGGAGGTGGAGATATAGATGGGAGGAAGGGAACCAAAGAGGTGGAGGTAGGGGCTAGGGTTAGTGAGTTGGCAGTATAGTTTTACATTGCTTCTGTACTTGCCCCTTTCCATACTGCTTTTGCTTACTTATATACAACTCTTTCACATTTAAGTGTTCCAGATTTTCTGTTTTTAATAGTACCTACTTTTCTCTATTTCGAACATCTTTTCACAAGCTGGAGGTCTTCACGGAAATAACCGCCCTACTATTTGAGACAGAGGTAAGGTCTGTGTATATCTTGCCCTCCCCAGACCCCACGTGCGGGTGGGATTCACTGGCTCGTTTGGTTTGGTTTTTTCATATGTGTCCTCTCCCAAAAATAAGTGTCTACTTTCCTATTCTACCCTCTAACTATGAGATGGATAAATTCATTACTGCCTCTATTATTAAGAGTAATTGTCATTTAGTTAACTGAAAATGTAATAATTACACATTTCTAACACTGTATGCCATTCTCATTGTGGACATTTATTTGAGGCAGAGGGAGTAATAGACATTGAAGGAAAAAATCATCGGACATATATGGAATAATTGAACACTAAGCAACAATGATTATGATAGATTACTGACCTTAACAAAAGGAGCCCATTGCTCAGCATATAAACCATGACCATATCCTCCTAGAGCTGTAAATGAGAGAGATATTTGAACTTGTCAGTGCCAACACATGTACTAATCAATCAGGCACATGATATATCATTTGAGGCACTTTGTATTTAAAATTTATAAAGAGCGGAAGCCAGGTGAAATGCTGATTCTATAACCTCATGAGTTTGACACTCTGATGGTGGGCTGTAAAAAGCATACTAATTAGGCATGCGCCTGAATAAATAAGCAAATAGCTGCTCAACCCCTGTGTCTCCCACAGTTATGTAATGAAATTGTATTAATGTGGAATAACAGGGGTGCTTAGAGAAAGTATTTATAGGCAGAAACAAACAAGTGCTTTACAATGCTTAGCAGTACCCTTTAAAAATCACAACAGGAGGGAAGAGAAGCATAGAAGAAAGAAAGATGAGGGGATAAATTAGAAAAGTTATAAGCCTAAGCAAGAAAGAAACCTCATGTCCTTGTTGGCAGAGTGATGTACAATTTATCAAAAGTGATGATCATAGCGACAGTTGATCACAGCTAATAGGTCTATGGGCAGAGGCATTTTGTGGACCCGTTACAACATTCAGAAAGAAGGTTGTCCTACAGGCCAGTTCAGTCCTTGAGGTTGGTACAATTGTAGTATTGAAAACATGAGGAAGGATGTCTATGGGGCTAGTATTTTTTGCAACCCTTTGTAAACGCCAAAAGAGTAAAAAGCGTATCCGGGGCTATTTTACCGAGACTGCAACCGATCTTAGGGAATTACCAGCTTTTGAAATGGGTGGGTATGGAATTGACAGATTAGAGAGGATGCAAGAAGAGCATAAAATAGCCCTTTTAAGTTGTAGTGACACATCACTGAGGGTTGAAGACTTAGAGGCGGTCGTTGGAAGCATTCACTCTGATGATCGGAGGGTAAGGCGGTTAACTGATATGGTTATGGACGTGAAGGTCAATTGATATGGTCACGGATGTCATGGTGGATGTGATTGGAGTTTGTATTCAGCAAACCACTGCTTTTGATTTCCTAGCAGAATTTGGTAGAGTAGTGCATGCAGTGAATGCAACGTGAACACAATCATTACGAGCTGAAGTTGTTAAATGAAATCACCTGGCTCTTGATCCCACTTATTGAACTTCTTTCAAGCATATTGAATGACTCTGGGATAGAACCACTGCACGGGGTTGTTCTAAAGTCCCTCAACATGCTCTTAACATGGATTTGTTAGTTTGGAGAGATGTACTTGCAGCTGGAGAACATTATTCAAGTATTCTCGCCTTGAACAAGGTGAAAGTTGGGGAGCGGGTATTGATACACCCCAAAGTAGTATAGGGTGTTTAGGAGTACACCAGCTGGGAAATTAGCAATATCGTACTTCACTGATAGCAAGTTGTTAGCTGGGATAATGGGTGGTTAGAGATATTTTACTATTTGTTGCATCACTAGTTGTTAGTATAAATAAGAGGTCTGGGTGGTCTGGGAGGGTATCCTGTTTTGTGTTAAATGGGACAATCCTTTGGAGAGATTCTGGCCTCTCGAAAGCCAGAAAGCCCCCTTTCTAAGAATTCAATTAGTGAGAAGCGTTCCTCTTCCTTTGAATTCAATCTTAGATGGCCTTCATTTCAAGCCACTTGAATAAATGTAGTCAAAGAAACTGTCAAAGGATAGCATAAAAGTAGTCAAAGAAACCAACATCACTTATCAACCACAACTAGCCATACAAATTTTAAATGTAAAATTGTGTTCTAGAAGGGTCAACTACTGTACCAGCCAATGAAAAATGAAGCATTTGAATACGAGGTAGATTTAGAAAATATGAAGTTCAGCTAATTGGTATTCATATGTATGAAAAACTAGAGCCACCTAATGGATAATGAAAGGAAGAAACAAAGAGAAAACTGATAACAAAAAAAAAAACCCTTACAAATAGAAGGCACAGTTTCACAGACTCTAACACATAGTGCTAGCTACAACGTCAAGCCTAAATCTTTTGAAACCAAAAAAGATTAATAAATTACAAACCATTTATTGCAGAAGTGAGCTCCTCTTCACTTTTAGCAACAGCATTACCACGACCATCATAGGCCAGCCTTCTACTCTTTACCATAAGAGGATATCCAAATTGGTGACCTGCTCTTTTGGCACTTTCTTGGTCGTCTATCTGTCCCAGCAAATTTTGTTGCCAAACAACTAAAGTAATGTAAATTATCTTTCTCAGGTGAAGTGAAAAGGGCTTAATATATTCTTTAATGATACAGACCTGCATAAACTTGGGAAGCGGAATGCCATGTCGAGAAAAATGGACTTTTTGAAGAAACTTATCCTGTGAAGAAAAATATCTAGTCCATATTAAAAGATATCACCAGAAAACAATAGATCGGGGAAAAACACTAGCCACAAAACATCTGCAAATGAACCATATAGTATCTTAGAGATCTGAGGAGTTAGTTAGAAGACCAAAGATCAAGTAAAGTAGAAAAATAGAGCCAAGGCTATACAAAGTGAAATGCCATGTTCTATAAATTAACAAAGATATCAAAATAGATATCTAGATGAATAGAAGGCCAAAGCTCACAAGTTATCTATTTCTGGGAAAAAATAGAGATGGGCTACAAATTCCCATGATTCTTATGAAGCCTTAATATGAGCATCCTTTGTGTTCTCAGTCCTTTCTTGCAAAGTCGTAAGGTAACGCCCACCGACAACGCCTTATATACACCACATGGCATACCATTGACAATCCTACAAACAATATACAAAATAGAACACCAGTCCCCTTTGTATAACTAGACAAGCATTTTTTTTTATCAAACTATGGTAAATGGTATATACCTAAATGAAAATTTATACTTAAGTTGAAATTACATGAACAGCTAAGTTGAAAAAATATGGCACCATAATACAAAATCAAACAAGAACGCCCTAACCTAAAGAAAACTTGTGTGCCTGTTGCTAACCATAAAACTTTTTGTATTATATGCTTGAAACCATTGTCCTTTAATGTTTTACCGAGTTTAACTTTCGTTGAATTGCATAAATATTAACTTATAGAATTTGAAATCCAACATAATTATTTAGGCAAAGTTAGAGATGACAGCATAACAAACATACCTGGATAATGCGAATGGTAGAAGCTTTAGGCTGGCAATCTACCCCTTGTTTTTCAAGCTTCTCCAAAGTGTCAGCATCAACATGCTCAATTTCAACCGTCAATATTCCACACCTACACAAACAAGTTGAGTGAGTTTGGGACATGTTGATCAGAGTCACATAGATTTATCGAGCAACAGTTTCAAACTCCAACCTCTTAGCAAATTCTTCGACTGTGGTGCTATCATCATAGCTTCCCACCATATGATGGTGGCATATGGAACTTGCAGGGCAGTTCTTCATAGGATCCAAAATATTGACTTTAATAGCCATTTGGGAAGCAGCTTGGCAAAGCATGCGCCCTAACTGTCCTCCACCCAAAACACCGACAATTTTTTCAGACAGTCCATGATCTGGTGTATTCTCCTTCCTACATCATAGGCATGATTCAAGGTCATGTCGTGTCATGGAAGGGTACAAAACATATTACTAACTGCGAATAGTAAATATAATTAGTAATTATAAGCATCCAAGTTTCCATAGTTTTGAAGATTAAACAGGGAATGGATGTTTGTAAGGTTAGAAATCCTAGCTTCATTACTCTACACACAAAAATGTTCTCTAACCTGTGTGAAACATCGTTTTCCGATGATGCGCAACAAGTCATGCTCCGAACATTTTGTTGGTTAGTCATCGAACATGAAGGGAAAGAGACGCTGCTGAAGTTCCTGTATGCTCCAAACTGAAGTAGAGAACTTCGGTTGGAACAAAAGGCTGAAGTAAAACCAACTTGATGGATGGGACCGTTGTGAAGAAAACTGCTTGGGCTCAGCATCCTTGTCACAACACAGTAGCAGAAGGTAAGTTTTCATCTCTAGTCAAAATATTTAAAGCATTCCCTTCACCCTTAAGATCATGTTTCCTTTTAGGGGGTCTTCAACAAGAAATGCAATGTTCGCTTTCTTGGAAACCTTTAAGCAAAGTTGCCCATTTCCCCATATCAATCATTACAAGGGTAGTTCTGTTCAATTTTTTTCACAAAATTTTACTTTTGTTTGATCATAGGAGTTCTATCTCTGGGAATCAAGGGCTTTTGACTAGTAGTTAATAACTTTTCACATGCTTGGAGGGCTAAACTTTGCATTTCTTGTGAGTCAGGGGAAGTATACATATAAAAATCAAAGTAAACATTACTTACAAATACATAAATCTGGAAATATCCAACAATTTATGAACTGAATGTTCTTAAAAGATCCTCAAACGCCTGTAACAATGTGACAACAAGATTTAATAACTATCCCTGACCCCAAACATAACACAAAATTATGCAATAAAATGTGACAATTTCTGAACTAAATTTTGTTTTGTAGTTACTCCCGGAACAACATTCCAAAGAGGCTTTCGAATTAAACAGTAAAATCACCATTCTGGCTTTGAAAACAGAATCTACAAGGAAGCTTATATATGACCACCGGAAAAGATGAATAACTATTAACATGTAACACCATATTAAATGTTAATTATAAGAATCTCGTTCCCGAACTAAATTTAACCTAAAAATCTGAAACCAACCCCATTTAAAACAATGCATGTTCACCAGAACTAGTCCATCTCCCATAACTTTTTAAAAGAATGCCCGAATAAACTCTAAATCGTCTGGAAAACGAAAAATGGAATGAAGAACGTAGAATAAACTCCGAATACACAGAAAACATGTGCAATCAAACTTCTCAAAATCCTTCCTTTATAAAATCAGCTATCCAGTCCAAAGTACAAAAGGAGGTTCCAATGGAAATCGAAACAACAAATGAAGTTGAAAGAATTGGGGAAACATAAGCTCATTTACTTGTGAAGAAGACTTGCCGATTGTTAGAGTTGCTGAACCACGCAGCCGTGATATATGCCGTCGTTATTCGTGAAGAGAAGTGAACGATTCTGAGAGGTAGTAGCCGAGCCAAGGAAGACAGCACTCGAATTTAAGATTCGTATGATTAAAAGAATAAAAGGGCAAAGTCAATCCTGGGCTGATTCTTCTGACTATAGTATGGAATATGGATGAGCTTATCCAATTAAGCCATGGGCTTAATAGTAAGCCCAAATGATATCTATAGACTATAATTAAGCTTAAGCCCATTAAAACTCATAATTTTATTATTTTAAAAATAAAAATAAACAATTACATTTAATTATAGTTTTTTTTCCCTTTCATATGAAATAAAATTTATGAATAAATCACAAGGGTGGTGTCTGATTGGTTTGAGCTTGACTCAAAGGTCAAAACTACCAGGAGGTCTTAGGTTCAAATCCAATAAGGAATAAAAATCCCCTTGTGGCCACGAAGGTTCAAATGCGGTGACTTCGGGCTATCTGCAAAGCAGGTGGACGTACTGGGATTAGTCGGCTCGCATAGCAAGTTAGATATGCAGGTTAATAAAAAAAAATTATGAATACTTATGAATAATTTGGTATATCTAGACGGAACTTCAAGTTTGGTGAGTTTAATTTGCTACAAACATTGTAATGTTTGGGCAAATTGCATGAAAAAGTAACGTACTTTAACTTGATTCCTATTTTGAGTATCATACTTTCAAAACTTCAATTTTAGTATCTAAGATGTAAAGTTTTAACATTTAAGTACTTGGGTAACCGGTTGAAGCATTAAGCGGTTATCATGCTGATGAGGCGAGTGATGTGGTATTTAACTCAATATTATTTGTTGACGTAGTTAGTGACATGGATTTTTTTAATCTAAAATTAGTCTTCAACCAGTTACCCGAGTACTTAAACGTTTAAAACATGTACTTTTCAGATAAACATGTATTGTCATTAAAACATGTATTAATTGTTAAATATGATCAACTTTATTTCAGATAAACATGTATTGTCGTTAAAACGACACAAAAAACAATGCTACGATTAATGGGTAAATTGGAAAGAAAAAAAAATAGAAAAAATGAACTAAAAGTACGAAGGGGACAACAATAAATTTAAAAGTAATCAAAGGGCTTTTGGCCTAGCACCCTAAACATTTCAACTTCATCAAGTTTTGGTTTAGGTTTGGTTTTAAAACTATATAAAAGCACCCTTCAAGATTCAACGGGTGCACCGTTACAGTCGATAAAAAAATATCCGTTACAACGAACCGAATTGAGCGAGGGGCCGTGCACCCTCTACTCGCGTAGTAGGTCCACCCCTGATCGTAGCCATAAGCTTCAACTTGTCAAAGTTTATAATATGTGTTTCCTTATATACACCCAAAACTTTACGAAAATAATCATCCATGAATGAAACAAAATACTAACCTCCTTCAAGAGATTAGGAGTCCCCAAACCACATAATCGATATTATGCCTGTCGTGTATGTTTACCGACACCAAACGACACTCGTGTTTGTATGCGTAACACATAGTTGGTATACAAATCCGAACTCCCGAACTTATCATGATCAATTGAAGCACCGTTACCTTCCATCAATGTTTTGCAACCAAGTTGGAACCACAAATTTAGTCATCGATGGTACATACCTCACATCTGAGATCGTATGTATGAATGCAACCATCAAACATCTTGATTCTAATGTACAAACACATGTTGTAGTGCTATCAGCAATGAGAATGTTTGTTTTTGGAAAAAGGTGCCGATGAATTAAACACAACCAATAATGCATCATGATCTATGACAAATGAATATAGGAACCTGAGTATTGCGGATGTAGTGACATTTGGGTCAAACCAGTAGAGAAATGGTTAGGTGACCAATTTGAACGAGGGAAATGGTCATTTGAGCTAATTTCTCTATTGTATACAAGGGGAGGACCATATTTCAGTAAAATTAGCATCAACGATCTCGTAAGTTACTAAAAGATGAAAAGAGAAAGATAACCAATGAAAATGGACCTAATTGTCTATTTTTCATTGCATTGTGCAAGACACGACGTCATGCAAAGCAACTTGACGAGGTCGCAAAACATGTACCGCGAGTTGCTCTGCTTTCCAAGTTACATCACATGTGAACCCAAGTTGCATTCAAGAACGCTGACATTGCACCATACCATCTACCCGTCTGCATGCGACTTGCAATCTGAGTTGTAAGTCGCACATGAAGTTGCTTATGCCCAATAGAGTTTGTATCACTATTTTCAACTTTCAACATAAGTGGCGAACCTAGAAACTTTTAGTGGCACCATTTGACTATAAAAACAAAGCTATAAATGTTCTTTTTTAATAAAATCATCATTGGCTTGTTGGACGGTTTATTTGCTTCTGTATTTGAGGTCCTATGTAATTCGAGTATTTTATTCTAACTTTTTTCAGAAACATAATGAATCTGAAATAAAAAGGCTAAAAACTAGGGGTGCACAAAAAACCGTCAACCCGCAAAATCAGCCCAATCCAACCCGCTAACAACCCAATTAAACCCAACCCGCCAAACCGCCCACCCGCCAATTAGGAGGGTTGAAATTGGGTTGGGCCTAGCTCAACCCGACCAACCCGCCAAACCGCCGCTAATATATAATTTTTATCAAATTTCATATATTTATATATATATATAGATGTTTATTATGTATATATATATATACTAATAATGTATAATATTTATTGATATTATGTTTGTATTTCATTTTAGCTACACATATAGGTTATCAAAAGAGATTTACGATCAAGGAATGATGATCAATAATCTAATTAATAAAAGAAAATTATTGAAATCTTTTTTGCAGCAACAACAAATTGATATGTCGGAGAATATAAACGATACTAATAGATATTTTGTTGACGAATCCATCAATCTAAATACCCCGTCATTTGATGTTGTACTTTAGTGGAAATAAAATGTTTAGTTATAGCATTTCGCTACAACAACATTAGATCTTATAGGATGCCTAAAATGTCTAAGCGTCCTAATATGATTCTTTATAGGACGAAACAAGAAAAATGTTTTATTTAAAAGAGTTACAATATGTTTATAGAATGATTTTGGACGTCCTAACAAATTCTATGATGCTTTTAAAATAAAGTATCATATTAGTTATTTTACACGACACAACTTGAAAAGTGTATATGAACATAAGTGTCCTATAAATATATGAGTTTTAGGGACACTTCTCAAAATATTTATATAAAATAACTAATACGACATTTTATTTAAATATCATTCTAAAACACTTGTTGAAGCGTCCAAAAAAGTCATGTAAACCTATTGTAACTTTTTTAGATAGGACGCTTTATAATATGGTCTATAAACTTAAGTTTTATGAATTATTTCATTCGTCAAATTTATATAACTACTAGTCCGCCAACCCAACCCAACTCGCCTCAACCCGCAAGGGTTGTGTTGGGTTATACTTTTGAATGAGTTGGGTTGGGTTGAGATTTTTCCAAACCCCGCCATAATTGGTTATTACTCACCCTCCCCATTTTACATATACAAGTCTTCTAAGTTGAAAGCTCCAGAAGTGAAGTTGAAAATTTGATCAATTTTCATCTGGGTATGAAACATATCTTCGTTCGAATAATCGCTCAGACAGTTCACGGCCTCACTGCTGTCTGTGGATCCTTCATTTGATAGCAAACCATGCACAGGGGTTTCTTGGTAATTTGAGGTGCCATTGCTAATGCTGTCCTTGCATGCTGAACTCTGATGTCCATGAAATTCTTCTAGGCTAAGCCAGTCTGCAAATAAAATCTTTGGTAATTTGTTGATCTGAGCTGGTGGGGCCGGTTGACCTGCGTCAGCAGATGAACGGTTCGCGAGATCCGATGAATCAAAACTTGTGTTTCGTGTAATCGAGTTCATGTATGATGAAGAGGATTCTGTATGTCCGTTTGTGTACTCAGGTTTAGGTTGCGCTTCAAGATTTTCAGATTTTGCTACTTGCTTCTTCAGGTAGGAATGCCAATGATTCTTTATCTCGTTATCAGTCCGGCCAGGCAGATGTTGTGATATTAGAGACCACCTGATTAGTGTTATGTCAGTGCTCGTCGCTGATTTATAACGTTTACAGAGGTAAATAACTTTTTTTTTACTGAAAAACGATCTAAAAATGCTAAAAGAACCAAAGAAAGGCCCGAAAGCAGGCAGCCTATATCATAATTGTTGCTTACTTGTTGCCTAAAATGCCATGAAGGGCGAGGACAGTTTCTTCTTCTTGTGAAGAGAATGCCCCTCTCTTTAATCCTGGTCTAAGATAATTAATCCACCTTAATCTGCAACTCTTTCCGTTCCTTTGCAGACCTGAATGTGTTGGTATAAACTATTAGAATCAAAGGTCATACACATAAAAATACGTAAAAGATAACGAAAAAGAGAAAACAGCATAAACATAGTTCAGTGATTTGTCTATATTCACTTTTCGGTCCTTAGTTTCTTAGTTTATGTATATTTCATGAATGAGTTGGCACAATCATAGAAGAAAGACTCCCCTATCATAAGAAGAAAACAAGATAGTAAATAGATAAGACATGTAAACTGTCATTTTTAACTGTTTGACTGTCATATCTGTTTTTTACTACAATTGGATACTTGAAATTGTAGACCGGTTTACAGTCCAAATGAGATTGTATCCAACATAAGCAAGAAGATGACTGAAGTTAACATATGGGTATTTTTTTCCGAAGGCACAAATAGTCATGATCAATCTCTTTCACTAGAACATTTTATAGTTACTACATCTTATTGACTTGAAGCTAACATAATCAACAGTAGTGTTGAAGAATGAGCACATTGAGAGTAATATTACCTGCATTGATGGGGACGGCACTCCAGCAACCATGACCATAGTTCACCACGTAATCTCTTAGCTTTTGGTCCTCATCAGGAGACCATAAACCTTTCCTATGCTTTAGCTTTGGCTTCTCTGATGGCTTGCACCTCATTATGTTTCAGGTAAACGGATTTAATACCACATAATATAAGATATGAATTATGAGCGAAGTAAAAGCCAAGACTGGAGAATGAGAAGAGAATTTGATGTTGATGATACTATGAACAGCTGACTTTAGATGGGTTGGCATTTAAAGAGAATGACAGGCCATTTTTTGCATCAGAAAAAGATTTTAAATTCCACCAAAATTAAAAAAGAATTGTGCGAAGACTTGAAACTAATATAGATTAATGTCAAACTCAAGTAGACTTTCTAGAAAACAAAAAACATACATTCATTCCTCTTCTTTTTTCTTTCTCTATATTCTCATGACTTTTGGATTTATTTATGACAATAGCATTATTACTCTTGGAATCTAATAGAAGCATCATCAAGCAGTTGACAAATGATTGATTAACTACCATATGCAGAGAATCACATATAAATAACATTAACCTACACTTGGTGTGTTAGGCATGCAAGTTCTTTAAGTGCTCAGAAACATGCAATAATATATACAATTTCTAACCAAAGAAGCTTAAACCAAACCGAAGTAAATCTCACTAAAAATAAACCCGTCTCACAGGAAAATCTAAAATATCAACGGAAGTTTGACTGTTGTATAAAAGAACCTTTACTTATTACCCCTTGGAGTACAATAATGCGCATAATTCTTGCTACTGAAAGTCTAACTAGTCCTTGCCAATCAGAAACTTGATTTGTTTATTTCAACAAAAATGATCAACAACTTCAGTTGAATATTTGTATTCCTACCCATCAATCTTTTGCTGGTATAAAGAAATACATATTAAAGAAATAGGATCAAGTTCGTTGACAATGACCTGGTGAGATGGACAGCATATGATCATAAGCAATCGCTTTAGCGTGCGACTTTCTCTATGTTTTATTTGAAAGTCTTTTGTTTTATGATAATCAACTTGCACCTAAGTATATTATTAGCCTTTTTTTATTCCAGTATATTAATTAATGTTTTATTTTATGTAATATCACATGTGACCTTTATTTCATATACATGATATTTGACATTCCAAATTCTTTCAGGTAGGCCTAGCAATTGATTAATAGTTACTGCTTTAGAGAAAATTTAATACCTCTAACCTTGCTCCCAGTCTAGCTTGAGACCATCACATGCTTGCACATATAAGCAATAAAATTACAGTGGTTATAATACTTTTACCTCAAGGTTTTTGACTAGTGATATGATAAATAAGAAACTATAACAATTCAAGTTTTTACCACCAGAACATTTTGTCACACAACTTAGGCGGGAATTCTTTATTTCAGAAGATAATCTTTATAGAAATGAAGACATCAGCATGCTTCCTTATGCCAGACCAGAAGAACTATGAAGGGACACGTAGCATGGCATCTTTTTAATTTCTTTAAAGATTATGATTCAATATTTATAAAGATTTTATTATGATGATAAGAAATACTGTGATTTAAATAGAGGGAGGTTGAATGTCAATGGCTTTACTTTAATCCAACAGGCATTGTCAACCAATAAACAATATCCTTCTGTTCTAAACACATTAAATATTAGAAATAATGTCCTGTTTGGAATCTCTTAAAGTGAACACCAATGAAAACTGTAGTTGAAATGTTCAAAAAATCCTGGTGTTTTTAAGAACTCATCTCCACCGACCGACTAAAGCCTGAAGCTTGAGGTCAGCAATTACTAGAATTTATCAGATGTTCAGGCATTGATCGGGAATGCATTAGTTGTATTTTCTGTGCTACAGACAATGCATTTTAGGATTAATTCTGGTGCATATGTTCAGTTCTGATTAAAACTGACATCAAGCTACCAGGATCTATCAAGAGTTGACTGTCATCAATCATCATTTGATCATATCACTTATGTCCATCCAAGAACTTAATAACAAAATCTCATTAATTCGTAGTTGTCTAAAATATGACATGAAAATTAAAAGAAAGAGTTATTCAGGGGTCACAATCTAATGCAGTTATTAATTCTCTTATACAAAATGTGTACTCAAAATAATTTCTACACATATGATTTCATTAACATATTAAGAACAACCAACTATCATGTACCTTCACCTCATTTAATTTGAAAGAGATCGACTATCCATTTCCTATGACTGCCACAGATTTCGATTTCGCCATCATCTGGAGTATTCAGGAGAAAAACAAATTACTCATACTGTCATATAAGTGTCAAATATAGAAAATGAATTTTTGCATAAGCACCTAATCCACATTAATGTAGCAAATCTTTTGCTTTCTTACTGTCATTACAGCATAATATCCAAAATAATATAGGGATTAATGTACCTGCTTACAAAGACCTCTCACAGCTTATTACTATTACTCTTGCTTTGTTGAACACATGTGGAGACAGAAGTGAGATACAGACATTCTGAACAGTCATATTTGCCTTTTTTTGTGCAAGCTCACCATTATTCTTGTGACAATGTCGAATAAGTACTATGGTCTGCAAGAATGAACTATGCTGGAAGCAAAATGTGAAATATAGATGCAAAAAGACCATCATGTTTTGCATATTTTGTCTAAAATGACTCATTTTTTAGTAGCGTTCTTGCATTTTTGCAAGGATGGTCTGTTTGCAATAAAAAGCCAAATACAACGGTTTAAAAAGTCAATAAACAAAATGGAATACAATTAAAATGAAATTTCATGTTTTATTAGCTTTTGCACAATATGTTGGCACAACTTGACAACTCAGGGACATAAAAGGCCATATTGAATTAAGCCTAACTGCCCTCAAGGTTATAGAGATCCTGATTTAGATTGGCTAGGGGTTGATACAGAGTACAAGTCATCACAACTATACATTTTTACATCATTAATGTTGAAGTTTGGACATACATTTTCTTCAAAGATCAAATCATAAGTCATATTCCACATCTTGATGCTCAAGGTTCAGTTGCAGACTACTCATTCTTGATCCTTCTTGCATGTCACTAATGTATGATCCCCCATTTATAATTGTTTCTTGAGAGCTAGAAGCACGGTAAAATCCATCCCCGGAACTGGTAACTCACCTGAACTGTTAAACTCATGAAACTGGTCTAGTGAAATCCAGTCAGCAAATATAATCTTTGGTGGGATTCTAAGAGCTGATTCTTTTAAATAATCTGAAGGCTCAGCATCAGTTGATAATTCTTCCATGTATCAAGATGACTTGAGATTTGAACCTCCTCTTGTTGGCTTCAAAGATGAAGCTGAAGAGGATGCTTCATCCAATGTGTCCGAAGACATAGGATGAGCCTGTACGTTTTCTAAGTTGTCATAGTTTTTCTTCAGATACGAATGCCAGTGATACTTTATCTCATTATCGCTCCTCCCTGGTAAAAGCCGTGACATCTGAGACCACCTAAGAAATTTTAAGTCTGCATCTTGTTAGTTTCTTAGGGATATAAATGATATTAATCTTGATATGAAGCAATAACTTTACCATTCAGAGTCCAGTCTTTTACATCTTTTTCATATTGGTCGTCTTTTTGGCCACATAGATGCTAGTGGTATATACAAAAAGATATCTCTCACCAAGACATAAAATAGAACTTAGCAGCTAGATTGGATGTGAGGAATTGAATTATTCAAGATATCAAGTTAACTTGAACCATTGCATTGTTACATTTATTTACTTTTTGTTTATGGGGGTTCTAGTTTAGTTGCTCATTTAGTGATCTCTTTGAGGATTATACTTAAATTATGGAGGTTATGATCAATAGAGTAATTATTTATCGAATTATAAAGAAAATCAGTAGGAAAATAAATCTAAATTGGCAAAAAGGAATGAAACCTGGGTTCTCTAGGTTGAAAAACCAACCCTACCGCTATTTAAGATGATTGATGCATATTTTTTCATTTGTATAGTAATTAACAGAAGTTCTATGGTGCTACACGACATCACGGGCCACCACCTAGCTAAGTCCATCCCTGATACCCATAATGTCATCCTTCAAGGAGGAGGTTCATAGAAGTGCTGAAGAAAACAAATAAGTTGCTTAACGTAAGGTACCAACACTTCCAAAATATTGAAACAAAAATCTCATACATGATGCATGCTTACTTATTGCCTAACATGCCATGAAGTGTTAGGATGACCTGCTCCTCATGTGTGGTGAACATCCCTCGCTTTAATCTTGGTCTTAGATAATTAGTCCATCTTAATCTGCAACTCTTTCCTTTCCTTTATAAACCTGTGTTGATAAAAACACAAAGTCAACTTCAAGAGTGTGTCTGCATTTGCAAGAAAATGTAAATCCTTCATCATCAAACACTCGCTTGCAGGAGGGGGTTGATCTTCCAAAACATGAGCTTTGACAAGCACAAACGTTGAGCGTAGAAAATATGCATCTTTGAACAGTTAAAACATTAATATACATGTATAGAATTTGTAAGCAGGAATATACCCACTTTAGAATTTCAAGAAAAAAGACGACATTATGTTATCTGGCATATTACCAATGTACTCAAACAGACTCCTAGACTCAAGACACAAGTTGTCACATAGCTTTGATGATAACTTACCAGCATTAATGGGACAGAACTCCAGCAGCCAAGATCAGTTAGAAGTGAGACTTTCAATTGTTACCCTGATGTTTCTATAAACAATTATACTACAGCAGAAGGTTCTATTAATTGTTCCCTTCAAATCCATGCATAAATAGCCATCCCATTCAAAGAATTTGAGTTAGTCTGTATATTTATGCATTATATGTCTATTCAGCAGGTTTAAAGAAGTTTTAGGAGGCATTACTAGAAGTTACAATTCATAATTTCCTGACAAAAACTTTCCAGTCTACACCGGAGCACAAATTCAAGGATCCAACTTATGTCTGAATTTAGGGGAATAGAATGATAGTTTTTCCTATCTTAATCTTTTCCTGTCTTTGTTTTTTCTTATAACATTGCCAACCTTCTTGTTTGTACGTACTGCTGAAAATTTACAAGATACAACAAGAATTCAAGTAACATGTAGGCATAAATGTGCGCTAATGTTGTGGGTTGATTACTCATTTCATGCAACTACAATTATGTGTGA